GCCTCCCTTAATGTGCAATGTGTTGTTGTTCCATATTGCTCATTAACCGTTGGATTTTCTCATGTCAATTATGTTGTTCAACGTAAGCATGTTTTGGTGTGATAGAGGAGCGAGACCTTTAGTAAGGAAGTCGGCTTTCATCTTGTCAGTAGGTAGGTAGACCATCTTGAATGTTTTACCAACGTGACTGCGAATAAAGTGCCATTGTCGGCGAATGTGTTTTGTCCGATTGTGGAAGCCATGTCTTTCTGACATGCATATCGTGGATTGGTTGTCGCAGTAAAGAATCTTTTCTTTGAGCGGAATGCCTAGTTCGTTAAACAACTCGTCAAGCCAAATAAGCTCCTTGGCCGCTGAACCGGCGCTGTAATACTCACTCTCTGCGGTAGATAACGAAACGTTTGATTGGATTTTACTCTTCCATGTGATAGCCCCGTTGGCGTACTTGAAAATGTAAGCGCCAGTCGAAGTACTTGTTTCATAGTCATCAGTCCAAGACAGATCACAATAGCCCTCAATAACGTTCTTCTTTGTCTTGCTGTAGATGATCCCGTGATGCGTAGTACCAGCAATATATCGTATGAGGTGTTTGGCAGCAGCAAGATCGTTGATAGTTGGTTGCTTGAGGTGCTTGGACAATTGAGATACCGTGTATGAGATGTCGGGTCTAATGGTGTTGCTTAAGTACAATACTTTGCCCACTATCAGTCGATAGTGTGTAGCAGCCTTCCGATCCAAAGTGATTGATGATGGGTTTTTCTGTAGCATTTCTAGCTCAGGCTGGATTGCTTTGGTTGAGTGTTTGCTAATGTTGATAGGCGAGCCAAACCGATTTGAGTTGTAAGGCATCAAAGCCGCAAGATTCAATAAGATTGGCCCAATGACAAGTTCGAAATAAGTACCCCGCGGTGTTGGGATTGTAACCCATAAATGCGCACAGAACACCCCGTGCAGAAAATTTGTTTGGTTGGATAGGAGTTGGTATGTGAACAAAGGTTAAGCACCCAAACACCTTCAAATGAATATAGGTCTTCACAGTACTCGTCTGTTTCAGCCAATATTCCTTGGGTGTATTGTGGTCAGCAGTAGGTGCTTTCGAGATAGTGCGTGGAAGTAGGTTGAAAATATGTACAGCCGTGGCAACCGCGCGACACCAATATTGAGGAGGAACCGCTGCGTGAATAAGCAAAGACCGTGCCATCTGTACGATTGAACGATGACTTCTCTCAACAATTCCATTCTCATAGCTTTGATACGGGGTAGTGAGTTGATGTTGGATACCATGCTCCTGTAGAAACCCCTGTGTTGAAGGTTGGTAACGGATCCATCGATGTCATCTTTAGAAACCTTTTGTTGAATGGCAGTGTTTGCCATTATTGTTACTTATTGTTAATTGTTGTAGTCAGAATTGTATATATTCTACTTAATCACTATATGCAACTACATTAGAAGAAGGTAAACTTTTATTGTATTTATACTCTGCAATACACAGTTCTAGGATTTCCGTGTATCTGCATGATATACATGAGCTGCATAATTGTAATTCCTTGACTGTTAAGAAATGTCAACAGAAATAGTCAGTTGAGGATACACCAGTGGAAGGTGCTTGTGGATCAGATGTAGCAAATTGGGCTGATTCTGATTTGTGATTTGAGTTGGAGGAAAACCCATTTGAATCCCTAGCTTGCCTGGCCTTGCGCTTGCGGCAGTCTTCAATGATGTGCCCCTTTTTGCGGCAGTAGTTGCAAAAGCCGGAATGGGTTCGTGAACTAGATGAATACAAAGCTGACTCATTGTAATTTAACAAACCAAAGAATGAAAAGGACGAAGGCCAAGGAATGGACAAACCTCTGCAGTAGGTCCTCACTTGTTCAAACGTGAACTTGGTCGCGGGATTGGTCAAGCATTTGGTGCGGTGAGCGGTTTCAATGGATGCCCAATGGTTATCTGGAAGATTCATCATGGCGCTGAGACCACCAAGGTCAGCTGAGTTGATTTTGGGGAACAAGTTGGTGAAAAGTTGGCACATGGTTTCGTATGACTTATCGGAACCAGTAGCGTGCTTTTGCAACAATTGGGCAGCAATGGTGAGACTGAACTCCCCATACAACAGAACCACAGCTAAATAGCGGTCACGACCAAATAACAATCCAGCCTCTTTCTTGATTTCGGCACTAACAGTGGTGTGAACAGCAGCGTTGACGACGTTTTCCATCAAGCTAATTAATCTTCTTTGATGTGCGACCGTAGTGGATTCATCAAATTCAAAACCATCAACACCATAAGTAACAAAATGATCAAGGTTGTAGACTTTGAACAAGAAGGTGAGCTCCTGTTTCCAAGATTCAAAGGTGAAATGACCGTCGAGAGTGGTGACATCACCAAACACTTCTAAATTGCTCATAACCTGTTGAAGGGTAGTAACGTATCCATCGATAACATCTTTCGATAGCTTTTGTTGATTGGAGGTAGTTGTCATTGTATTTACTTGTGGATACTCGTTGTGTTGAAGGGTAGTAACGAATCTATCGGTGTCATCTTTCGATAGCTTTTGTTGCATGACGGTGGTTGACATTGTCGTTACTTGTTGTTACTTATTGTTATTTGTTACTTGAATTGTACTCTAGTTGTTGGCATTCAAGGAATTACAATTATGCAGCTCATTTGTGTCATACAGATACACGGAATGCGATGTCCGTGTAATGTAGAGTATAAATAGAATAGGAGTTTACCTTCTTCTTATATAGCTACATATAAAGAGAGTTGTTGACACTTGTTAACGGTCAAGGAATTACAATTATGTAGTTCCTTGGTGCTATGTCGATACACGGAGATCCGAGATCCGTATAATGTAGAGTATACACGGAGATCCTAGAACCGTGTATTGCAGAGTATAAATACAATAAAAGTTTACCTTCTTCTAATGTAGTTGCATATAGTGATTAAGTAGAATATATACAATTCTGACTACAACAATTAACAATAAGTAACAATAATGGCAAACACTGCCATTCAACAAAAGGTTTCTAAAGATGACATCGATGGATCCGTTACCAATCTTCAACAGTTATCATACGTATTTCTCTAACCAGTGCGATTATGCGGTATGATATCACCAGACAACGGCTTGTCTTTTGTA